TATCATAGATGGCCTTTATTATATTGAGGTAAAGACCATCTATTCCAATTTTCTGTAGGGTTCTTATCATGAATGAATGTTGGGCCTTATCAAAAGCTTTTTTGCATCTATAGAGATGATCATGTGATTCTTAATTCTGGCTTTATTGTTTTGGTGGATTACATTTATTGACTTATGTATATCGAACCATCCCTGCATGCCTGGGATGAATCCCACTTGGTCGTGTTGTATAATCTTCTTGATGATTTGCTGCATCTTGTTTGCCAATAATTTATTGAGGATTTTTGCATCTGTGTTCATTAGGGAGATTGGTCTGTAGTTCTTTTTTGGTTGGGTCTTTCTCAGGTTTTGGTACTAGAGTAATATTTGCTTCCAGGAATGACTTAAGAAGAATTGTTTCCCTTTCAATTTCATTGAAGAGTTTGTGAGGAGTCGCAGCAGTAAGTCTTCTTTGTATTTCTTGTAGAATTCTGCAGTGAATCTGTTTGGGCCTGGCCTCTTCTTTGTAGGTAAGGATTTAATTACATTATCGATTTCATTAATAGAAATTGAGTTATTCAGCAGTTTTACATCTTGTTGACCCAGCTTGGGTACTTCATATGTTTCTAGGAATCTGTCCGTTTCTTCTGTGTTATCGAACCTATGAGAGTAGATGTTTTTGATATAGATGTTGATGATCTTCTGTATTTCCACAGAGTCTGTAGTGATTTTGCTTTTTTCATTCTTTATTGCATTAATTTGAGCTTTTTCTTTCCTTTTTAAAATAAGGTTGGCTAGGGGCTTATGAATTTTATTTATTCTTTCAAAGAACCAACTCTTTGATTCATTGCTTTTTTTGAATTGTTTTCTTAGTCTCTATTATATTAATTTCTGCTCTGGTTTTCATAATTTCCTCCCTTCTTTTGGCTTTGGGCTTGATTTGCTCTTGTTTTTGTAGATGTTTGAGGTGCAGCAACAGGTTGTTTATTTGTATTCATTCTGTTTTCCTGATATGGGAACTCAGTGCAATAAATTTTCCTGTGAGGAATGATTTCATTGCATCCCACTGATTCAGGTAGGTTGTATTTGTATTTTTGTTTGCTTGTAAGTATTGTTTAATTTCTTCTTTAATTTCCTCTGTGACCCACTGATTGCTCAAGAGTGTATTATTCAATTTCTATGTGTTTTGGGGGTTTTTGCAGTTTCTTTTATCATTAATATCTAGTTTCATGGCACTATGATCTGATAATATGGATGGGATAATTTCCATTCTTTTGTATTGATTTACATATCTTCTGTGAGCTAGTAAATGGCCTATTTTAGAGAATGTCCCATGTGCTGCTGAGAAGAATGTATATTCGGATGTTGTTGGATGGAATACTCTGTGTATGTCTACCACGTTCATTTGTTCACAGATGTGATTATGTTCTGTTATTTCTTTGCTTATTTTCTCTCTGGTTGATCGGTTCCTTGGTGTCAGTGGTGTGTTAAGATCTCCTGTTATAATTGTGTTATTGCTAATTTGATTTTCATTTCTATTAATAGAGTTGGGTGCTCTGGAATTTGATACATATATGTTTAAGAGAGTTATCGCTTCCACTTGAAGTTTTCCCCTAACCAGTATGTAGTGACATTCTTTATCTCTTAGGATCATTCTTGGTTTGAAGTTCACATTATCTGCAAACAAAATAGCTACCCCTGCTTTTTTTTCAGTTCCTGTTGCATGAAATATTGTTTTCCATCGTTTGACTTTCAGTCTGTGAGCTTCCTTTTGGGTTAGATGTGTTTCTTGCAGACAGCATATGGTTGGTTGTCGTTTCTTGATCCATTCTGCCAGTCTGTTTCTTTTAATTGGTGAATTGAGACCATTTACATTGATGGTTACATTGATGGTTATGACTGCTATATATTGGCTTATTGTTGACATATTATCTTTCTTCTGTTGCATCTTTATCTTTCCAATCTGTTTAGTTATCTACTTTGCTTAGTGGTTTTTCCAATGTGTATCTAGACTGTCTTTCAGTATTCTTTGCAAGGTTGGCTTGGTGTTCATGAAATTCTTCAGCTGTTCTTTGTCATGGAAGTATTTCTCCATCCATTTTGAAGGACAGTTTTTCAGAGTACATCAGTCTAGATTGAAAATTGTTTTCCTTTAGGATCTGAAATACTTCACTCCATGCTCTTCTTGACTTCATTGTTTGTGTTGAGAAGTCTGCTGTGATTTTGATAGGCTTTCCTTTATAGGTGATCTGTCTTTTCTCTCTGGCAGCTTTTAATATTCTATTCTTATGTTGGATTTCTGTGATGGTGATTATTATATCTCTGGATGTAGTTTTATTTTGGTTATGGCTATTTGGAGTTCTATATGATTCAGTAATCCTAATGTCAGTTTCCAATATCATGTTTTGGAAATTTTCAGCTATGACTTTTGTGAGTAACTTTTTGATATCACTTGTGTTGTTCCCTTCTTTTTCATTTATCCCTATTAATCTTCTTGTTTTTCTTTGCATCATTTTTCAGCTGTTGAATTGTTATTTCCTGATTCCTTGTTTTTTTTAAAAGATCTTTCCTTTCTTCTTCACTAGCTGCAATCTTGTCTTGCCACACTGACTGCTGAGGTCTTCTGTTTGGGTGAGAGGTTACTGAGTCTCCCATCAACCCAGCACTGCAGTTAATCCTCTGAAGTTCAAGGTTCTGGGAGGGGAAGTGGGAGCCAAACATCAACAGCAATACTTGTTCCAGGAGGTGGGGAGGGTCTTCGAGGGCAGTGGGCTGGCAGTGTGGTGATTGGGGTTGGTGTGTGGGGTGGGCAAGAAAAGCATGCCTAGCACAAGGAAGGCCTCTCCAAGGGCGGCATTTCGCTCCTGGATTTGTTATTGTGCTTATGCGGTTGCTTCCTTTTCCTGGTACTAGAAGCACTGGTTTCTTCTGAGAACTTGCTTGAGGAATCTGCTGTTACTTCTTTGTGGCTTCTTTACTTCTATGTGGCTTCTTTCTTGCTTCTTTTCTGGTTTTTTGTGTGATCTTTTACTTTTTTTTGGTGGAACTTCTTATGTTTGTGGGATGATTTTATCTGGGGGGATTTTTTTCCCCATTGGTAATATCTGACTGATCACTACTGTCCGTTTCAAAGTCTTCAAACTCATAACCACTGTGAACTTATTGGCCTAGTATGATAGGTTCATAACCATGTGTCTTTTTGTGCCAGAATTTAGCCTTAAGAAAATCCTCTTCCAGTGTTCAGGAAAACTGTTTTTGGCCTCCAATATTCTCTCTGACTTTCTTCCTCAAAATCATTACTATGCATCTGACTTGAACAGCTGGGTAACATTTTCCTTTTGGTTTCCTGGTAAGTATCCTTCATCTGTTTCTGTATTCTCTTATTTTTCACGTATCTGTTTGTTCCTGGATCTTATTGTGAGCATATGTGTGCTGGATAGCATTGCTAAGGAGAATCTTCCCCAGCTGAACCTAGGATATTTTTCAGTCCTACGCAGTAGCCTTGCATGGGTGGAAGGAGGAAACAATGTTAGAGAAACTGCACTGGCCCTAGTCTTAATGGTTGCTTATCTCTACTCACAGTCTTAGTGCTGTCTCTGATCCTATTAGTGAATATGCTCATGGAAGTTTAGTACAGATCCTTATCAGGGCAAAGAGATTCCTGTGTCCAGGCCCTGGTGCTTAACAGTCCCATCCAAAATCACCAGTGAGGGGCCTCATGTTGATCCTGCCCACATAAGGGATCCATTGCTACAGAGAGCAGAACATATAGTGTGTTTCTTACAAGGAAGACCTTCGTGTCATTTTGTAGACTGTAGTGACTACAATAGGAGGCCATGTAGGTTGCATCCCTGACCAACCAGTACTATGATTTACTACTATCTGGCAGGTGTTGGCTGTGACCTCAACTTGCCTGCTTTTTCTCAGACACAGCCTTGTCTTCCCTCTGTTTTCCTCCAGCCTGGGAGCGAGGCAACCTCTGGTGGCTACAGGGCTCAACCTCCCTATGGTCTCATGGCATTCTCACAGCTGAAGCCACAGAAGACACAGAATCATAACCCTGAATTTCAGAGTTCATACTTTTGGAATTTTGGCATGCACCTTGTCTTTCAGTGTCTTTCTGAGAAATCCCTCAGACCTAGCATGAATCAATGGGACTTCTAGGAAATCGCAAAGCAAACCTTCCCTGAGTAGAAACAGAGAGAGAGAGAGAGGGAGAGAGAAAGAGAGAGAGAGAGAGAGAGAGAGAGAGAGAGAGAGAGAGAGAGAGAGAGAGAAGAAATATCTGGAGCACCTTGGGGCCTCCATAGCCCATGAGTTACTGAGGAATGCTATAGTGTATATCCATGCACTGTGGGGGGGGGCTACCCCAATTTTGGATTGTCAATCCTGTAATGGAGTGAGCTGGCAGTTCCTTGATGACCTCTGTGGTTTTTAAGAACTTCAGGATGTGTCTCCCAGAAATGGGCATGAGCACAGTATGCAGAAGAACTTTGGAGCCACATTAGGCAAGATGAGTCTTGGTAAACAGACTTAGGACACGTGCTCTTCCATGATCTGGATACTTTGGATATATGCTCCCATGTGGAATGTTTGTTCCCCTGGTTCTGAGTGTGACATCTATAGTTGGGTGGGGTTGGAGTGGTGCTGACCTGCTTGTATCTCCAGGCTCTGGTTGTTGGTCCAGCCACACATCAACTGAGACTTTCATGAGCACCACTCTTGGTTAACAAGCTCAGTTTTCCTGGTGACACCACATTTCACCTGTTGATGTTGATTCTGGGTACCTTGAAACTCAGAACATGACACAGGGAATTTTGTCTGCAACACCAGTCACCACCCATCACAACCTGAGCTTCAGTGCCCCTTCCTGTGTGCTCCCTCCTCCAAAGATCGGATTCAAGCAGGGCTCAGCCTCCCTATAGTATCACAAAATTATCAGAGCATAGAGTCATGCCCCCGAATGAGTCAAACTCACATGACAAACCCCTGCCTACTTCCTGTGGCTGCAGGATAAAGAGGCCAAAATGCTAAGGGAGGAGGAGTGTGGAGTCTTGCCAATGTAAGGTCCCATTCCTACTGTACTCCTCTGACCCTTTCTGTCCCTTACCTGGCTACTGAAGCTCCTCCATGCCTGTCTCCTTCACAGATGCTGAGCCTGCTGTTTGTGACTCTCTGCCTCATAGGAGGGTCTGCTCCTAAGCCTCAAGGTAGGTCTTGATCCTACCCTGGAGGCTCCCTGGAGGCCATCCTGCCCTGGAGGCCTCAGAAACCCTGGCCTCTGGGTCCTGGGATGTGTGCAACAGGTTGAGGATTGCCTCTTACAGCTCAGCTTTCCTGAAGCTTTACATATTACTTCTAGCACCAGCCATCGAAAGAGAGCTGGTGGGCATTGTCGGGGGACACAATGCTCCAAAGGGGAAGTGGCCCTGGCAAGTCAGCCTGCAGGTGTACAACTACAGCTTGGCTTTCTGGGAACACACATGCGGTGGCTCCCTCATCCACCCGCAGTGGGTGCTGACTGCTGCCCACTGCATTGGACAGTGAGTATTTCTCCTGCTGTTGAGTTCTGGGTGCAATGTGGGGTGAATGGGCGAGGTTTGGGGAGTGGTTTTGGAATTAGAGACACAAATCCTGACTCTGAGTGGTTCTACTCAGAACTTTTGATCCTTAACCCATGGTGCTCAGTGAGTACTCTGTAATGGGCTTTTGGGGCTTCTTTCTGACCACAGTCGAAATGCTGATCCATCAACCTACCGCATCCTGGCTGGGGATGTATACATCTATGGAGACCACAAGCTGTTGAGAGTGAAACAGATCATTGTTCACTCAGACTTTGTTCATGTTAAACTGGGTGCTGATGTGGCACTAATACAACTGGGCAAACCTGTGAATAGCTCCGCCAATGTCAAGCCCATCAAGCTTACCTCCCTGAATCATGAGGTCACCCAGAAGGACAAGTGTTGGGTGACTGGGTGGGGCCACGAGAATTCTAATGGTAAGTGTGGGGCGCACTCCTGATATATTCCATTGGGAGCCTCAGAAGCTGAGGCCTAGGCAAGTCTGGGACATAAATTTAGGACTGAGGGCAGAAACACTTCATATTACTTGCACAATATAAGAGGCTTTTTTGGAAACAACAGCACACACACCTTCTTTTTTTTCTTTGGTTCTTTCAATGGCAGGTGGAGATATCCTTGGGTGAAAGCTCAGAGAATCTAGAGGAACATAGGCGAGTGCATTTTGGATCCTCCACATGTCTTGTGGAAGGAAAGTTGAGGATCAGTGTTGCTGAGACCTGGATTAGGTGTATCTGTTCTTAAGCCAGTCTTTGATGCCCCACAAGAATAGTCATGTTCCAGTAGGGGATGGGTGGGAGTCTGTGACATCAGGAATATTGCCACCTTCTGCTCTCTCCTACCCCAGGTTGGCTGCCACCACCTTTCCGCCTGCAACAGGTGAATGTACACATTGTTGAAAACTATGCCTGTGAGCAGCTACACCAGAATTATAGTATGGATGAACAAAACAACAGGAGGATCATCCTTGATGACATGCTGTGTGCTGGTGGTGAGGGTCGTGATTCCTGTCAAGTGAGTTCCGTCTATACTTATCTCTGTCCACCAACAACATCCATGCTTAAGAGCCAATATTCATTGACTCTTTTCATCCCCAGGGTGACTCTGGAGGCCCACTTGTCTGCAAGGACTCAGATTCTTGGATCTTGGTGGGAGTGGTCAGCTGGGGGGAAAGCTGTGGCTGGCTTCCTGGTGTATATGCACGCGTTGAGTTCTATGTACCCTGGATCAAGCAGTATATTCAGAGTTCCTCCTAAGTCCAGTTTACTGATTTCCACTGGCCAGCCAAGGAGGTGCCTGCTGCCCTCCAACAGTGCCTGGGCCTGCAGCTTCTCTTGCATGATGCAAGATTCAACTTCTTCCCTAGCCTCCTTGGAGCCCTAGAATTTCCTGAATACTCCAGGGTGAGAGCCTGTGCTTGGCTCTTGTGGCCTGTTCCTGAGGGGAGGTTGCAAGGTGTGCAGGGTAAGGGCCTGAGTTCCATATACTGGCATCTGAATTTGCTAAGAACCCAGCTGTTGGAGGACACCTGGAATATTTCTGCTTTCTGTCTATTCTGAATAAAGATAGTATGAAAAATGTTGATGAAGTTTTGTGCTGAGTTGAAATTGCCCTTTCTCTTATAACCAAAAGCAGCACTGACATTTGATCGCTTCTTTCCCAGTGAGGAACCAAGGCGTTAACCCTCCTCAGTTGGGGCTCATGTGAGTCCCAGGTCTGCACATGCTAATCCTTTTTCTGTGTCTCACATCCTGTCTTGTATCTTGGAACTCAGGGACAGTTATCAGCTTTAGATATTGTGTAGCTGTTCCTTCATTGACAGAGAGCCCCACCTGTGTCCTGAACCAGAACTTAACTATGTTGCCCAAGAAAGCAGATGAACAGCAATGAGGGTCTTATTTAACCACCTCCTTGTACCCAGGAAGGCACAGTTCTCCAGACTAGTCCACCAGAGGGTCAGTGCTTCAGTCCCTGCTCCAGATTTTCCAGGCCACCCACAGGAGGACATGAGAATTCAAGGGATGGCCTGTGCTCTCAAGCAGTGCAGCAGAGTAAAAAGGTAAAGACAAATGCAGTGATGAGTGAAGTTAGGGCTTAGGAACCAGACCGTAGGGGGAAGGTAGGCAAGGGATGTGAACATGTGAGTCCAGAATCTACATACCCTGCCCCTACCATCTCAAGGAACATCACTTATAAACACAGACCAGAAATTCCACAACAGGGCAAGAAGCAGCTCACTACCACTGTGGCCAGTGCACACTTTCAGATTCAGCACCCCAATCAGAGAATGGACACTTATCACCCAGCAATTGTCACCCTGTCAATTGCCACCCAGCAGGATCAAGAGCTGTTTCTGCTGATTGGCCAGCCTCCCTAGAAGGGGGCAGTCCATATACGCTGAGGTACCAGTGTTGTCATGGGGTGTGGAATGGTGCTCTCAACTGAAGTTTCACTGGATTACAGAGTATTATCACCTATGGATCTCAGGTGCAGCTCTGTTCCCTTGCTGGCTTCTGTCCACTGCTCTTTTTCCAGTCTCCGCTGAAGCAATCACTGGAGAGTTGGGAGAAAGTGACAGTTCCTGTTGTCTTTTCTGACATCTCTCTACCCATGGTCAGTCCTCAGGTACCTTTAGTCTCTTTTCTGTCGCACTTCTCTGACTGACTTTCTCCAAATGAGGAAACGAAGGTGAGATTACTCTGAATGTCTGCACTAGCCTGAGTAGATATATACCAAGCCTGTCTCTGTCTGCCAGCCCCAGTATGCCAGAACCATTAACGGGTTTAGATCTGGTTACCTTGTTCCCTCAAGGGCAGAACACTGCACAAGTGTCCTGGAGCCCAGACTCATTTGTGCCACACAGGTGCAGAATGGGGTTGACAGGCAGCAAAGCTGGTCTGGCCTAAGTGACCTGTGGCATGGTAAGGTGGTGATTCTTGTGTGAAGCTGAGAATGCTGGGGAGGTGTGAAGGGTATTGAGGGAGATGGGGAATTAGCACTCAGCCTGGCCTCCCACTGAGTTCTGAAAAATCTCTACCCCTGTTACTCCCATTTCAGCAACACAGCTTGGCAAAAGCCCTGGGGAGCCCTTGCTTCCTACCAATTTATAGGATCTCTAGGAATACAGGGGTGCATAGACAGTGGGCGGGTCTCAGTGGTCTCTCGACAGGAGTGAGTGGAAAATATTGGAGCACGATCAGGTGACACCAGTTATCATTTCAAAGGACATGGAAAACATCGTTTCAGGAGGGGCCATATCTGTGGCTTCTGAATGTCTGATTGAGTAGGCCCTTTTTCTTCTATGGCTGATGCCCTCCCCTGACAGCCCTTACACTACTCCTCCAGGAAGAAAGTGGTGAGTTCTCAGCTTCTCACATGCTGGACCACACAGGATTCTAGTGAAAGAGGCTCCAGCCCCCCTACCTGCCTGGGATATAGGATTTGGTGCCCCATTCCTTTCACTGCAAATTTCCTCTTAGGCTCTGACAATGACTAGGCTCCCCAGGATTTTGCCAGTAGTACTCCCAGGAGATAGGACTGGGGGGCAGTGATCACTTGAATTCCAATTGAAACTTTAATCGTGAAACCTGTGCCCACTGGATCCTCAGTGCGACCAATGAGTACTGTGTGCCTTCTACAGCATTCAAAGTGCGGTCCCTTCAGCATGTTTCTGTAGCTCGTGATAAAACTCAGATGAGGAAAGGGTCTTTAGCTTGCCAGTATTTCTTATGTATCAGAAACTGCATGAAAACTTTTCTCCCTTCTTTCAAAACAATTGACCCCGAGAAAAATCAGTGTAGTTACCACCAGGCACATGGAATACACATTTTGTGGTCTAAAAACTCTTGATAAATTCAGGGATCTTATAAGCAGAAGAGAGAACAGACTTTTAGAACAAGTATTATCTGAGGGACAGTGTGGTTTGGGAAAAGTTGCATAACCGAGATGAGAAAGTACCTCTCTGCTCATGCACTAAATCAGCTTGAGACAGTTAGGGGTCATGATAGCTCTATGTTCGCACTGATTGCTGGAATGACAAAATATGACCTTGAACACGGTAAACTGTTTGCAGTATGCCATGGTTCAATAAACCTGCCAGGATACCCTGTTCAAACCACAGAAGCAGAATGTTTGAATGGAATGGGAAATTGTCATAGAAATTCTTTAAAGAATTTTTCCAGCTTGACTTGCTCTTTGACAACTTAAAAAGCACTAAGTGGGGAGATTATACAGCTGGGCAATACATTATTATTGTCCCAGTAGCTCTACTGCAGAGAACATCTCTTTTTTGGAGGTTATGATCATGATGGCCTTGGTTACTCCTGGAAACCTAAAAGCCACTTTACTTGACAACACTGAGTCTACATTTGTGCCTGCATATGTTTGAGGGATGACTAAGAAAGCATGAAAAACTTGACATGACTGTCTTTTCCCTGTTTCTCCTCCCTTTGCTGCCTTAATTCTTGAATCAGATATCAAGGTGTTCCTTGAAAGACTGGTTATACAATAAAATGGAGAAAACGTGATTTCAAGGCTATGCACTTTTCAAATTTTGGGATCTGCAGCACTGCAATAAGCAACTGGACACTGTGGGTGGTTGTGTGGGCCACCACTAGAGTGGTAGATCCCACTCAGATAAGAGCCCCATTGCTATAGAGAGAAGCTCACAGAATGTGTCTCTGACAAACGTGGTCTTCATGTCACTTACCAGGCTGTGGTGGCTGTACCAGAAGGGCATGCAAGGTGCATCCCTGACTCCCAGGTCCATTGATTATCCCTGTCTGCAGATGTTGACTGTCATCTCACACCTTGTTTTTCCCACACACAGCCTTGTGCTCCCTCTCTTTTCCTCCAGCATGGGTGCCAGGAAGACTCTGGTGACTATAGAGCTCAGGCTCCTTGTAGTATCCCAGCATTCTCACAGCTGTGTCTCTCAAACGAAAACATTCATGTCCTGAATTCCAGTGTTGGTGCTTCTGGAATTTTGGCGTTCATCCTGTAATGGAATGTGTATGTGGGAAGTCCCTCAGAATCGGCGGCAGCAACGGAACTTCTAGGAAATCCCAAAGCAAAAGCCTGATGCTCTAGGGAAGGGAATAGTTTTCCATTAGTGGTAACACATACATGGACACACACATACACACACAGAGACAGACAGACAGACAGACAGACAGACACACACACACACATACACAGATACAGAAACAGAGACAGAGACAAAGAGAAGGAGAGAGACACACAGAGACAGAGAGAGAACACAGGAGGAAAAAGACGTGAATCAGCTGTGTCACCTTGGAACTCTTAAGGCCCATGTGTTACTGAGATATGCCATGGTGCTCACCATGGTCAGTCACAGTGCTCTAGAGTGTCAGATAATGGGTATGTATTCTCTATGATTGGGCACCCTAATTGTGAATTCCCAATTCTGTATTGAGATGAGCTGTCAGCTCCCTGATGAGCTCTGTGATATGTAAGACCTTGAGAATATGTCTCCCAGTAATGTGCTTGGGAATAGTATGCAGGGACAGCATGGAGGCTATTTCTCAAAGAGAGGTCCAGCAGGAGGCCTTGGGACACGTGCTCTTCCATGGTCTGTATGCTTTGTATGTGTGCTCCGCATGTGGAATGTTTGTTCCCCTTGTTCTGAGTGTGACTTCTACAGTGAGGGCAAGGTTGGGGAGGTACTGACCTGCTTGTATCTCCAGCCTCTAGTTGCAGGTCCTGTCAGACATCAGCTGACCCTTTTGCGAGCACCATCCTGGAGCAAGCAGTCCAAGCTCCCTGCTGACACTACATTTCGCCTACTGATGTTGAGTCTCGGTATCCTGGAATCAAGAACACGACATACGATCTTTTGTCTGCATCATCAGTCACCACCCGTCACAACTTGATGCCCAATGCACTTCCTGCTTGTCCTCATCACCAGGGCAAAGCAAGTTAATCCCTTGGGCACTTCCTATGGCTGCAGGATAAAGGAACAAGAGACCTAGAAAGAAGGACTGTGGCATCCCATCATGGTACGTCCCCTTCCCTGCTGCACCCCTGATTGCTCTGGCCCTCTCCATTTCTCACCTGGCAACTCCAGCCCTTGCATGCCTCTGTCCTCCACAGAGGATGAACCTCCCGTTTGTGACTCTGTTCCATGTGGGGACTCAGCTGCTAAGGCCCAAGGCGAGTCTTGATCCCGCATGATTCCAGCCCTTCTCTAGAGGACTCTCCAAACTCTAACCTCAGGCTCCTGGGATGTGTGCAGCAGGTTGAGGGTTAGCTGTCTCAGGACATGCCTCCTAATGTTCCACGTATTAATTGCAGCACAGGTCATCAAGATAGAGCTTGTGGACATTGTGAGGGGACGCAATGCCCTCTAGGGAAGTTGTCCTGGCAAGTCAGCCTGAAGATGTAGTTTCCACATGTCTGTCTGGAAGCACAGACCTTGTGGCTCCCTCATCTGCTTGCAGTGGATGCTGACTGCTCCCCACTGCATTCAACAGTGAGTACTTCTGCTGCTGTCACGTTCTGGGTGATATGTAGTGTGAGTGCAGAGGTATTACATCTGCAGTTTCTTCTTTGCTTTTCTTTTTT